AGGACGACAATGTAGTGCGGAGGCCGTGCGGTCCCCTGGATCACAGAGTGGGCCTGCAGGAAGCAGTCCCAGTTCCGGGCTTCGGTGACGCCGCGGTCGACAACAGTGCCATTCTGCGGATTCGACGAGCGGTCGGCATCTTCCTTCCGCGTTGAGAAGAAGCGGGTGTTGTGACGCTTGCCAACGATGATGAGGGATAAACGTGGGAGGCCTTTGTTGGTGTCGCTGGCGGGGTAGAGCTCATTGCACGCTTTGCGAATGAGAGGCAGCTCTTTGTCGAGGACGATATTGTATTGACCCTCGGATACGCCGTCGCGGTAGATCAGGATGTTTTCAGGATAAGCTTTGCTATGCTTCGCCCACAGACGGAGGCGAGACTTGAACATGCAATCAAGGCCAGAGACCATTTCCTGTCTAGCGGTCTGGATTTGCAGGTCTGCAGGCCATTGCGCGAGCCACTGGTCTATAGAAGCCACGATTCCCACCACGCTAGGGGCGGCCGACGAAGAGCCAGGAGAGGGGTGGGTGACATCGATGCCAACGACCATAGTCTTGCCTTCTGCGATGATACCGAGTTCGGAGTTGTCCAGTAACTGATTTCGCCCGCCAAGTTTGAGGTTACACTTGAGGGCCACGTTCGCAAAGTACTGGTCGTTTCTGTCTTTCGCAAACTTTGAACCAACAACGCAGACATTACGGACTCCCTTCTTAACATCGCACTCCAACTTGACGCACCTATAGATTGATGGATCAGTGGAGGGGACAATCACGAGTAGCAGCTTCGGCGCAGGTCTCGTGGGATGGCTGACAAATCTGCGAATAGCTGCTTCAATCTCCACGTCAACATTGGCCTCGGCCACAGTGATCCGCAGACCAGGAGTATAACGCGCTGCGTCGATGCCGACTTCCTTGAGTTTGGATTGAAAGGCATCCAAAGTAGACGTTAAGTCTTGTTCACTGCGCCAGGCGTCACGCCATTTGTTGGAGGATATCCAGAGATACGTCCAGGAAGAAAGTGTTGATCCCTTTGAAAATTGGATGGACTGCATGTTCCAGCTGCCAAATCTAGTGCTGGCGACCTTGCCACCTTTGTATTTGACATCGGGCCCTGTCAAGACACGACCCGGTACAGCGATCAGCTCCGGCGTCACTGCGATGTCGAGATCATCCAGACAAAGGTGAGCGTTATCTTGAAACGACGCCAGGGTAGCCAACTTACAAGGGTGGTGTTTGTGGGGGGCTAAATGCCCAATAACCAAGCGCCATTAGTAACTATTGACTGAGCATTCTGAGCAGGCTTGCGGACTGCAAACCGTATCATCTGCTGGGTTTGGCTAGGACTCAGTTTGTCGTTATCGGACGGCTGTCCGGGTAAGACGACACAAACATCGGCAGGCAGATACGACGGGTTTTGCCGGTTGCCGACGTTAATAACGGGTAACTTGGGGTCCTTTATCGTGATCCCGTAAGCTGGCGGATGTGTTAGCCAAGAGAAGTTCCAAGTTCACGGGAGTAGAGACACTTACTGCGCAGGAAGAGGTCATAGACACTAATATAGCCTTCCTGGGCCGGTTGCGGCCCTGACTTAGCGGGCATCTTGCCTTTCTTACCGCCTTTCCTGCCCGGGCCGGCCTCTTCCCCTTTAGTTTCTTCTGTAGGGCTGCCAACGAAGAATTTCACCTACTTCGCATCTGCTGCGGGCTTTGGTACAATGGGGGGATGAGGCAAACCGTGACCATCACCAGGCTCTGCCAGGCCTGCGATGGTCTTTATCCTGGGAATTTCTTGGCCATTTTTATTTCTCCTTACGATGTGAGTCACCCGCACCCGGACATCCTTCAGGAAGTATCCCAGCTTGACCATGTCTTGGTCATTTTCGTGAAGATATTCGTGCATTAACTGGCTAAGGGGACCTTCGTTGTAGCATGCAGCATGCTTGACATGGACGTTGACAAGCAGGCGGGCTGTGGCACCCCGGACGCTAACAAAAAATCCCCTGACTGCTTGCAGTCCTGCCCCAAGACTCCTTGTCTCCGACCGAGCTGGGTCTAGTTCAAAATGCTTGTTGGCACCTATAGAAAAGATATTGGAGGCCGATTTTGGATTTTGTCCTATGACGATGTTCAGCGCCTGGATTATCTCGTCCTTGGAACCAAACAGGGAGCTTGCATTGGTGGACGTCAGGTAGTCCATGAGCTCCGACACTCTGAGGGTGCCAGTGGCTTGAAGACGAAGACGATAGATTTTGGCATGTGGTGCAGGTTCGTCTTCGTCCTCTGATCAGTAACGGACAGAATAAGGTTCGCCCTCAATGGGAAGTTCGGACCCACAGATCAGGTTTGAGTTGAGTCCGTTGCGATACTGTGCTGGTAGGCAGAGAGATGTGCTTCAAGCAGGAGCTCGACGATTCTCTTGGCTCTCTTCCCTGTTGGGCTTCTCGCTGAGTTGTCGGGTAGAATCTCAATATCATAGCGGAACAACAGCAGATTGCCATGCGCCACCAGTTCAGAGTAGTTTGCCCAAAGCACCACTTCCTTCCCTCGGGTTCCGTAGCCCGGCCGTTCAGGTAAGCGCGGTTCAATGATGGCTTTCTCAGGGCTAGATGTCTTCTTGACTTGGCCAGCTCTAACGGTCTCATCCTCGATCTTCTGAATTCGCGGATCTGGTTGCGGAGGATATCCAGGACTATTCCCAAATTAGTCCTTGTACGTGATCAAAATGCATAGCGGAGCACCTTACGAAAAGATCTCTGCTTCCACTGGGCCACCGCGGCCTTGTGCAAATCCACCACGACCGCCTCCACCTCGGCTACTTCGACCGCCGCGTGCGTCTTGAGAACCGAAGCTCGCCAGAAAACCACCACGTCCTCTTCCTCCATGACGGTAGGGTACACCTCCATCACCACGTCCACGACCACGGCCGCGTTCGAATTGCCTTCCAGACAATGCAGAGTGGAATGAGTGGGATGAGTGGAGTGAGTGGGATGAGTGGGATGAGTGGAATGAGTGGAATGAGTGAGGAGAGCAAGCATGCAACTGTAGACTCCACAGAGTACTTGTTTCACAAGTTACATAAAGACTTTGTGGAATGCATCAACCGCATTGCGTTTCCACGTGACTTATTGTGCTCGAGGCATCTGACAGAGCGCTGTGCTGCGATATCTCACACGGCAGTAGATTGATCTCTCAACCAATTCAAGTACTTGTGATTTCGGCTGAGCAGGCCTGGAGGAATGGATCAACACATAAGATGTTGGTTCAAACTGAGGGGAGGAAATGGTCACATCAAACAGCGTCTCATACCCAACCACGTCAGCGAAAAGCTTTCTGCAGTTGAGAGTCGCTGCTTCGGACCGATCAAAATACTTCTCTGCTCATGTGCTTCAGCGTGAGAGAGTAGATTCTCAACCTCGCCAGCATTGCCGAATTTTGGCTAATCTCGGTCTTGGGAAGGAGTCAAACAGCAACAGCAACAGCTTTATTTAGTTTTACTTAGCTTACTGTACTCTATTACGGAGTACATCGAAGCCCTGCTTTTTGAGTTTCAGTTGAGAATCGCCTTACACCGCTGATCATCAAAATCTTGCAAATAGTCTTCCATCTTTTCCTTGCCCAAAAGGATTACATATCTACCCTCCGCCAAGAGTCCTTTGGACTTCTGCCACAATTCTATCCATGACTGCGATTCGATAATGGATAATGAGGGCCTTGCCTTCACTCCCCTCCTTCGTACACGTTTTGAATTCGCCAATAACAACAATTTCAATGAAGTTGGCAGGGTTCTTCCGGACAATTACAGCCACACGTTAACTCACATAATTTGTAACGTCAAGTCCACACGGTAGTTCAACTGCGTTGTTAGGCAACAACATTCGCCACGGCTCAAACAAATATAATATCCGGGAATGCACATCTAAAAAGTGCTTCCGAAGCGGGCATCTTACCTTCGCGTTTCAAAAGCACCCAATATTTATCAGCTACTAACATTTCGTAGAGCTTGCCAACAGACGTCGTGCATATGTCAGGCGGACCAAGGGAGTCGCGGTTCAGATTTACTTCGATCAGCGGCTTTTCATAGAGCTCCTGTTCATATGTATGTCAACTGTATCCAATCAACAAGGCCCCTTATCGAACTCCTTAACGGTTTTGACCCTATTCAATGGGTGGAGCTCTTTCGATCCTCGCTTTCTCGTATCGGGCTGGAGAATTCAAGGCCAATTCGATCCTCCTTTGTAAAGAGGAAATCATCCAGTTTTACTCCAGCAACGCGTTTTCGCTGTAGATGATCAGCTTACAGCTTCAAGATTTTTCCCGAACTTTTTCCACAGTGCAAGCCTGTCCGTATCCTTCTCGATCCCTTCCTCTACCAAGGTGACTAACAACGACTTGGACATGTAGTCCGGTTGATCCACCCTTAATGCTTCATACGGCCTTTGTACTTCTTCTCCACCAGACGACGGAACATCACCAGGAGCTCTCCGTCGGTGTAATCTGCAAAATGGAGACGGTGAGCCATCCAGCTATCAGATCCCAAGGTGTGCTCAAAGAACATCTCCGTCGTTGGTATAATCGACGGGAAAGAAAACAATTTTACCAACTTGGTTTTCAATGTCTTCCATTCAAAATTCAAGGTCTGCTACGCTTGTGGTGTTATGGCCATTGGCAAGTTGATAAGCCTCATCCATGAAAAAAGCAGCTCCACCGGCATCTTCCTCCGGGATAGCTTTGTCCTCGGTCTCGTTGCTCTTTAACTGGATCGCATTGTCTGCAGGTATACTGACAAGGACAAGCCTTGTCGCCACAAGAGCCTCCTTTGTATCGCCGCCGAAGACAATGAGATGCCGATAACCAAAGTACCATCAGCACAAAGGCAGAAAGCCATTGTCTTCACATCTTGCATGTAAGCTCTCCACTAGTATATGAGTCGGTCAAATCTCATAGCTGTTGATTGTGTGTTATTGTATTCACTCTCTTTCCTGTCCACCTTTGAAAGCAGGCAAGATGGCAGTCTTACCATTTTTCAAAGCAATGCGACACGAAGACAGCGATTCCTTCATCAGTGACACGGAGAGAAACAGGACAACCTCACAGCCTCATACATCAGAGACCTCGGAGGACGGCCCTCACTTCTCCAGAGTCCCGAGTATCAAGACGACCAAGCCTTATCCCACGATGTCGGCGGCAAACATATCTCACTGTGCAAACGACACGAACGCCTTACCAATTAAACCCCCAACGACAGACCGGCGGCCGGACATGCCCATAATGCCTTTCACCAAGCCATTTTCCACGAACTCATTGGTAGGCAGGTCTGACGGCGCAAGAGAATTGAGTACCTTGCTGGACAAGCGTGCCCCAGCAGGCACCGATGACCTAGACATGTCCACTCTGCCTCTGACCTCGATGCAGGTTATCTCTATGATCACACCACCGGCGGCTCAGATGACAACTGCTGGTCCAGATGTCTCTGCACAATCAACTGTTCCTTTCAGCCCACCCCTCAGAATGATTCCTTCAGCGAGTCCGTCCGCATTCGCGAGGCCAATAAAACCATCCTTGGCGTCTGGATGCCGAGCATACGTTCAAGCGCTTGAGACTCCAACAGTGTCACCTATTCCCTCAGCTCCAGGGCAGTTTACTACCATGAAATTCATCCAGATCACAGAGTGCGATCCGGGCGTGAACGGGCAAGCTTCCGTCACCACAAGTCCTTCATTTACCACCAACCCGAGCGGAATCTCTACCGTCTACATGAAGGGATCGCCAATCACGATGTCGAAAGGTGTCACCCTCACGTCAACCGGAACAACGTTCGTCACGGCTATCGTGACAGGCACATCAACTCTCTCCACAACCTCGCTTCCAGCTACAACGACGTCTGCGGCACCTGGCGCGACAGCTACGCCCGCTCCGGGTAAGCACGGCCTCTCGAAAGCAGCGATCGGGCTCATCAGCACCGCCTCTGTACTCAGCTTGATTGTCCTTGTGATATTGGCCTATATCCTGCGCCGGTACATCCGCAAGCGCAAAGAAGCCCAGCATGAAAAAACGAGTAGTTTCTGGCACAAACTGTTTGCTCCTACCCACCCTGCGGAGCGCGCAATTCCCCTGACCGAAGTGCCAGGAACAGGGCCATCTCCTTTTCGCACCTCAATGTCTGATAACCCATACAGAACTCCAGATCCAGGAGTCGTCGCCGCAGCCCCTCCTAAACGGAAATCTCCATTCAACTCCATCAAGGCCGCTATGAAGGCTAGGGGTGATCCGACCAGCTCGGACCACTTTCCAATGTTCACTAGCACTTACGCCGAGCGCCAAGCTGCGAGAGAACGAGCTCGAAGCGGGTACCCGGACACCTTCTGCACGAACACCGCCCCTGACGCCGTGGAATGTGGGTTTGGCGGAAGCAAAGATCCCTTCGACATGGTCGAGATCTGTCTTGCTGAGGATGTGGCGCTTGAGGAGGAGGAGAAGGCAGAGCGACGACGGCAGGAGGAGAGGGCAACCTGGGATGCTCCACGACGCTCAATGAGCCCATACCCCACGAATCCTTTCAGGAAGGTGGCACAGCCACCACAGAATGGAGTGAGAACTCTGATATAATCTGGTTTCGGAGGTGAGTAGGTAAAGTAAAAGTTGCTTTGGTCCCTTTGAGATTAACTACTAGGATTTGAACTTTGCCAAGTGCGGAGGAAGGTAAGTGATTCAGTTAGGTAGGTACTGGAGTTTGCGGGAGTTAGGTAAGTTGTTATGTTCAATACTAGATGTAAGTCGTTCTATGAAGTATCTCGCTTTCTTTTGCATCTCCCATCATCCAAAAATATGGTTCCTCCTTTTCTCTCCATCAGTGTACTGTAATATAAGCATTCGGCTCAGCAATGAAAGCCAGTTGGCATGACCTTTGATGAATATCATTTCAAGCAGCGGAGTCTGTCTTGGCTAGATTGAGTCCAGCGACCAACTCGCTTTGATAGACGTTGTAAAACAGCTGTTCTTTTCGGAGGTACTCGGGTTGCTATTTTCTCTTGTCTAGCAGTTGATTGCGAATTCGACCATAGCGCTAGACGGATTGTATGAATGCAAAGGATAAGCCCTTGCCTAACTCATGTTAGAAGAACACGCTCTTGCAGCGGAAGGATATTCTGTAAAGCAGCAAATGTGCGGCCGGTTACCACATTGATCACGTGATGAATTACTCCCAAAGACGAGCTGACCATATCGAATTTGGAAAGGACGGTAGTACAGAGCATTTATAACATGCTTGATACACGATGACTATGTAAGCTAATCGTCACCTGCTCAACCCTGCTGAGAAGAGTACCATGGTGCAAAGAGCGAACATAGGTGACTCTCTGGGCACGCATCACCAGGAGCTAGCTGTGCAGCGCAAGGAGGGAAACATGCAGAAGACGGGCGAAGAATAGGCCGTTGACTGACCCGAGCCCTTGCATTACACAAGCGCCATGCTGTGCCAGGTCAGTCAGAATGACACGCTGCGATTACCAACCATAGTATCCTGAGCCTGGATGATACACAGCATAACTCGTTAGTCCGTGCCCAAACCATCATCATCATCGCCGCCAATGTCCAAGTCATAGTCATCGAAGTGCAGTCCTGCATCTCGACATCGTTTCTGCCATTTATTGCTCTGCGCCCACGCTTGTTCAACATTGGCTTTCATTTTATTGTTTCTTTCTGATAGCTCCTTTATCGCAACATCGATTGTGGCTCTCTCATTGTTCCACGAACGCTCCTTCGTTGTGAGCTCGGTGATGTATGATACTGCCCGTTGTAGGATAGAGCCTTTATTCTTTTCGCAATTAGGAACTATCTTGGCGATTTCATTGATGCCTTCGTTGATGGTTTCACGGCGGCGCCTCTCAACTGAAAATTTGATCAGCACTGGAGACCAGAACAAGTTTCGATTGTTGACCTACCTTCCTTGTGATTGTTCTTGCGCTGGACATGCCACTCGTTGGTTCCAACTGCAGGCTTGTTTACGCTCATAGTCACTTCGCGAGCAGCTTGAAGTTGTGATGCGGTGGAAGGCGTCATGTCATTTCCGTCTGGGAATGAAAGTCCGTAATGACCACTGGAACCGCTGTCGAACGATGCATCGGGTGGTGGATAGCTTCCTGGTTGCATAGGCGTATTAAGAGCCGCTTGAGCAGTTCTCTGGTTCTCTTCGTCTATTGTTGAATCCCCGTTCTGACCCAAAGACTGTATCAACTGTTCTGATATCTGGCTCATTGTGGCTTCGTTGGCTCTTCTCCCCTCTCCGTTCAGTTCTTGAGACCTCGGCGCTCTTCCACCATCTGCTTGGTCGGCAGTGTCTCTTTTCCGTTTGTTTGTATTCAGAGCCGGTGAGAATGTCTCTGACTGCATGACGATCGTAGTGGTTGAAGATCGAGACGTCATATGGAGATCTCGGACCAGGAAGTTGTATCACAGAAAAGAGTAGGATCAGACTTATCAAGCTATTGCTGCAGAGCCGGTGTCCTAAGGTCGTTAGGGTGGTACGAAAGTGAGTACAACGGGAGCCTACCTACATCCGCTCACTTTTGAGTAACTTGACAAGCGTGTGTGAACGTATTCAGCGTAAATAGGGAAGCTGAGTATTGCCCTTTAGGATCGAAATGACCATAGACTTCCAACTGTGTTGTTGCTCGTAATGTTGATTTCCGATCACCCACTTTTTCAGAGATCGGTGAGCCTACAATTGTCACACTATCAGCTGTCTGAAAAACAGAGCCACGATGTGAACTCAGGTTGCGGATATGCATAATTGAGAGTGATCGATGTCGACGTTAGAGTAGCACTTGAAAATGTTGACAAAAGAATGGCAAAAAGCAAATAGTGTGGGTGTGCGAACTGCTCATGCAGACCAAAGCGTGTAGACTGGACATGCTCGTGCCCGTCTGGCCATGATGAAGCAGTTCTAGCTCCATGCTGTGCTGCTGACGTGACTGACGAAGCTCCGTTGCACACTCTCTTCTCCACAAGCTCGGCAGGGAGCTTGGAGAAGAGCTTTGGTCACAGTAAGAGGAGGTCAGGTGTTCAGGGATGGGGGAAGATCAGGTGACACGCACTTGGAATAAACGTGATCTGCTGCAATGCCCAGACTGCGTAACCTCGATATCACCTTTCAGGAGGCGGGCAAAATTGAATTCAGTTCGAGAGAAAGTGATTGCAAGCCAGCATAGAGCAGACAAGATTACTTTATTGTTATCGCCATGGCTTCAGTCATGATCAAAGTGAAGTTAGGGAAGTGGGAGGTCACGTTGTCTGAAAGCACATGATCAACAGGCGGAGAGGAGGGCTGGGCAGGCGGCAAGAGGAAGGTTTAGCCGATATAAGCCGGCTACACTTCCTTATTCACAACTAGACAACCTGAACAGTTCAGGAATGATCGTTTTACATGACAGTTCATCTACCAGAGTGTGTCTGTGCATGTCTTGTGATTTGGCCCCGAGCCATCACCTGCACTTATCAATGGTCATGTGCTATCACAATAGTGAGCTTTGGCCCAAGCCCGACTTCTGATTCGTAGAGCATCAAGCAGTGCGGGGTTTCTTAAAAACGATGGGCCACTTGCTCAGAAGAATCAATGCTTGTCCTCTTAGCCGCCCTTGCCCGGAGGTAATTCTCGAAGAATGAGCATTCCCCTTGTGCAGCGCAACACAACGATCTATATTGATATTCCGCTAGAAGCCTGCTGTGGCTGCTGCTGCCTTTTGAACAGGGTGTTGATTCAAACTCATGTCAGTCCTGGTCGGAGCTAGCTGGATCTTTATCTCCATTCAGACTTTCGGCCGGCAGTGATCTCTTTAGTCCATATCTTGCGTCGTCCATGGTGTCAACGATAAGCACCCCCTCTTCCGCTCTCCCCAGCATATCCCAGATGCGAACCTCTCCATCCACCCTGCCATCCCCTCGCGAGATCCCCATGACCGTGCTTGATCCTGCATATCTCACTGGTCCGATCAATGGCGACTCTCCTTCTTCACCACAGCGATTAGCAAAGACAACAATCACCTCCGTTTCAGGTCCATTAGGACCCTGCAATGGTCTCATCCTCTCGAGCCAGTAGCCCACAGTATCCAGGTCAGGTTGCTTGTCTTGCCCTTGCAGTTCGATTGTTGACAGTCGAGTGAGCCATGCCATAGAAAGCACCACGAGTTCTGCTTTCGAAGCGATCGTGTGATTTGCAAATTCGTACGCAGTCCATGGTGCTTCGAATTTATAAGGATTTATGTCCATGCAGATGCCCGCAGCTACCTTCTTAGCTTCTAGGGGGGATCCTAGCCGCATATCGCCAGCAAAGAACCCTTGACCTTCTGATGCCCATGTCTCGTCTGTGTAGTAGAGAAAACTTTTGCGAGTATGGGCAACAGTCTCGCCTGTTCCGTCGACGAATACCAGAGAGTTATACGCTCGCCGCTCACTACCTGAAAGGTCGTTTTCAGGATAACCCACTGCCACAGTACAATGCAGATTTCGTGCAGTCCTTTTAGCCCACAGCGTCGATGGTCCGGCGCCTGTTGGCTCAAGGAAAGGTTCAATATCTATGGACGACTTGTGATTGTAGCCTATTCCTATGTCAGAAGGAAATCCAAAATGCTGGGCGAGCTCGTGTCAATGCTGGAAATTTCGAAAGTATTTGAGCTTACCCGCGAATGCTAGTTCTGGTAATACAAGTAAGTCCAAATTTTCCAGTCTGTCTTTGTGGCAAAATAGGAGCATGTCAGCTTTTTTGATGTTGCTCTCTACATCCTCGAGGGCAGAATCAAATTGTAGTGTAGCGATACGCATCTTGTAAGACCTATTACCGTTCTTCTCGTGTTGAACGTTAGATTTTCGTTTTGTTAGTATCAGCAAAAAGAGTCAATCATCATATCGAAATGAGTAGCATTAGGACTCATGAGAACTTTGACCAACACTCTGCACTGCGGTGTTTATTGGGTTCGTTATCATGTCCATCGCACTGTAGGTGAAGACACATGTACAATTGAGGATAAAGGTCTCTAGTGACAGAGCTTTCGCCTCCTTGTTGAATGACTTACTTATCTGATAGTCGCAGTCATCGAGTGCTGGTTAAAGAATATCCAACAAGCAACCTTATTTGAGCTTAAAATCCACCAAACGCGCTAATTGAGCCATTGGGTACGCAGGGGAAACCCTCCCAGTGGGATATATTCATTGCTTGCAAACTGGAAGTTGGTCCAAGCGTCAAGCAGATGGGCAGCCGATCTCTGATCACCATTTGCACTCTAAGTACTACGTATTCGTGGCACACGGCAACAGTTGAAAAGTCTCTCCGATATTGAGCAACACAGTTGTTTTCTTACTCCGCTACGACACGTTCTGAGCAATTGAACCACTGAATGCAACAGACATTGCTCCCTTTGGACCAGCGGGTGTCGTTCTTTCCAATGGTGAAGTGACCTAAGAAACGTGAAGATACTAGACTTTGCTGGAATTGCAAGACCTGCTGTTAGATTTTACTTAAGAGACAGATACCCACTTGTTCCAAGACTCAAATTGACGAGTTAAATGAACCTTCTGATTGATCCATCTCTAGGCAGTCAGATAGTCATGCAATAGCCATGATAGGCAACCCCCTTTCAAGGTATCCCCCAAGGACGTTGCTGAAGTCTCCTTTCAGCTATAATATTTAAATATGGTCGACTTCCGCCCTCTCACACCATCATAGAGCTCGAAGATGTCGTTTGACTCGTCTCCTCCGATCATATCATCGGTCAACCCTCCACAAGGACATTCATGACCACTTCTAGGATTGCCCCATGAAAGAGCCGAACATGGCAGTAACACCAGGGCATCGAGCTTCATGCTTGCTTGGTCGCTCTGTTTGCTTTAGACACTTCTACTTTGACAAGCCTCCAACGCATGCTTGCTTCTGCTCTTTAGAAGAGATTGCAGTTTAGATGATGTTTTCTACTCCTTCTCCGTGCTTTCTTCGTGCTTTCTTCTATTTGCAAGTATTTTATATATAAAAGTATATGAGCATTAATTGAAAAGAGTCTTTGCAGGAACGCTGATAAGTGACCCAGCCTTGCCCTGCGGCCGGAGCTTGATAGGGTGGAAAGCTATACTTCTCAGAGTTCTTCCTCTAATGGTCAACCCTGGCGGCGCATCTACGCCTACTTGCCAGAAAATTCAATGCTGTCATGGTGTTTGCACACAAGACATCTTCAGCGGCCCTGTGTCCCGCGCAAGCAAAGCAGCATCCTGCAACCCCTTCTCCAAGCTTATAGCATCCAAGTCAATGTCACTGTCACTGTCACTGTCACCTGCACATGGAGGAACACTTTATCAACCTCCTGCTACAAGGGTTTATTTCGCTTGTACAAGCATCATGATAGCAGTGTCACCGCTGCTGCATGAGAGGCAACCGCCGGTTAGCCCAGGAAGAAACACTTCACCATACCATGCTCACAACAATAGATTGCTTGTGCAGACATAACACGCGGGTTGATTGGAATTATTGCTTGCAAGGCCATTCTACAAATATTCACCTACCGCCCAAGGCTGACCTCCTCAACCAACATACTTCCACGGTTACTCTTCTTGCACTGCTACCAATCTTCCACTGTTGCCAATCTTCCACTACTACCAATCATCCACTGCTACCACATCTTGGCCCCTCATTGAGATCTATAAAGTCTCTTTGCCACAGTTACATCAAACAACTCCTTGAGAAGTCCTATCACAAGTTCTTCCCAAATTCCCTTACTAGCGATGCCAGCGATGGCCAGACTCTTTTCTTTCCGCAAGTCGAAGGTCGCAAATGAACACCAGGTATGAATTCATACAGCTTCCCAAGCAGTCCTAAGTGCTAACATTGTATCAGAAAGGACAATCTACCACCAAAATGCGTCCTATCAAACAGCTCTTGAACAAGACCAAAAACTTGTTTCGTCATAGTAGAGTTCCTGAACCAACCCACCCTTTCCAACCTCCAGCTATCCTACCACTTCCAGAGACAACCGGTAGCTTGCAAGAACTAATTGATGAAGGATTGCTGTTACTGAGCGAAGGAACTACCATTTCCCATGCAGGCTTCTCGAGTTCGACGCGTTGTGAAGGGCATACCAGTAGTGCGATCACCTGTAGAGATGGGTTGACACATTCACCGCTGCTTTCAGCTGGGTCTACTGGCTCAGACGCTCATGAGGAAAGTCTTGCGCAAGCAAAATCCTCCAGCGATAGTAAGACGCTATTGAGTGGAAAAGCTGTAGAAGCTTGGCCTGAGAACGAGTCGCTAGGCGGCTCCCAGCAATCATCAGTCGATGGCTCGCCTGCAGCATCATCCTCACTATGTGCCGCCACTGCTGAAACCTCTGTCTTGGTATGCCTCCACCTAGTTCTTCTTTCGGCTGTGTCTAACAATTCCAGGAATTGGTACATTGTACACCGAGCAAGACTCAAATATGTCTTTCATCCAGCAAGAAGCTGTCGCGCCCCAAAGGACCAGGTGGAATCGAAGGCCCTGTTGGCGAAACTCATCCTAGCCTGTCCACCAACCATGTTCCTGAGGAGGACTTACGCCAAACTCGTCTGGAGACTCCAGTTGTGCTTACTTATTCGCCTCAACCAGAACCCAATAGCGGCGAATTGGGCGACAACCGTATTCATCGCAGTGCTCCGGTTCAGCAACCTCAGCTTTTAACTGATGTTGCCGATGCCTCTTTCTTCGACAACATCCTAGCAGATGAGTCAGACTTTGGCTGCATTCGAAGAATGTTTACAGAGGCGGAACTGCTAGAGGTGGCTGCATCATCAACCTCTTCCATCGAGTCCAATCAAGAAGCATTGAACACTACAGAGAGGCCTGAATTTATCTGCTTTGCTCAATCTGAGCTAGAGATAGATGCCATCAGACGGTGTCGTTCTCAGTTTGCGAGGTCATTGGAAGTAGCCCTGGCAGAACAGAAGACAGGTCTTGAATGCGGCTTCGAGGAAAGCTACGACAGCTCGGCCAAGCTGCATGAGATCGAGATGCTCAACGCCCAGGACGATCACGATGCCGAAGTCCATGAGCTAAAGCAGTCCGAAAAGGATCTTCGGGGTCGTCTTGCCGACAAGGGCAAAACTCTTCGTCTTGTGCGAGCCGACATGGAGACCCTCAAGAAGCAGTGCAACAACACGGTAACTCAGCTTGAGGAGAAGTCCAGCCAGTGCGATCAGGTTTTGCAAGCTCTCCAAGAACGCGAGACAATCTTGCAAAGACAAAACGAGGATCTGTATCGTTTGAGAGACGAGCTGGCCAAGACTCGACAAGCATACCAGTTATTCTTACAGGCTTCACGGGCTGAAGATGCTGAAAACGAACGTTCTCGCACAAGTCTGGAAGAGCGGTATAATGGTCTGCTCACCGGCTTCAACCAGCTAAATGCTAACAGGCAGGTCACTGAGGGTCAGCTCGAGGCTACACGACGTCAGCTTCAATTGACACAAGCAGCATTGAAGAAGCAGCAAGAAGCCTTTGAACAGACGAAGGCTTCTCATGAGCTAGTGATTGCAAAGAAGGTCCGAGACTTCTCGTGGCATATTGAGCAAAATGTAAATGCTCAGGCAATGAGGCCTTTGAGCATGGAGGATGAGATCGCCAAAGTAACGGCGCAGCTCCGCAAGACACTTGAGGAGCAGATCGAATTATCGGTGGCACTTGGTAGTCAACTCGAGTCGACACAAGTAGCCAATAAGGCGAAGTTCAAAAAGCTGAAGCGCGTCATCGCCAACCAGGGCCAAGAAAACGTGATTTTGGAGATGGCACTCAGCATGGCTCAGCGTCAACGAGATCACTGGGCTGAACAATATGACGAAGTTGCTCACACCCTGGCCAGCAAGCTTCCGTTCTCGTCCTTCGCTCGTAGCCTTGCCGAAAGACATATTGCGCTACAAGAAACAAGGTTTGCCCTCGAAGCCCAGTTACTTGAAGCCAAACTACGTGGCGATCGTGCTCTTCTTGATCGTGAAATTGTGAAACGTCATGAAGCCATCAAGCTGGGCAAGCGAGATGCCGAGATAGCGAGCCTGAAGCACCAGCTTGGAATTGTGCAGCAGGACCTCGACAACGAGAACGGCAAGGTGCTCATCTACCAGACGGCGGTGGACGAAGAGATGCCCGGCCTCCAAGCGCGCAACAAGGAAGTCGAACGCATGCTGGACGACCAGGTCACGAACAATATCCACGCCGACCATCGCCGTGTGGTGCAAGATCTGCGCTATCGTTTGCGCGAGCTCGAGGAAACGAACAAATTCTGGGAGCACAGTCTGGCCGAGCTTTCCCAGGAATTTTCTCGGGTCAAGTCAGACTGGGAGAACAGCGGCTGCATCATATTTTCCAACCTGACCAATGCGCGCACCTGGCGCAACGACCGAGACCGCCTCGAGATCGAGAATGCGGCCTTCCGAGAACGTTTCGCCGACGAGCTGGTCAACGAGCCTCTCGTCATCCCCGCGGACTGGAAAACAAGACAGCAGATCGAGGATGACTTCAAGCTCGAAAACATCGACGATGCCCTGCTGAAGCAGTTCGGGTTCACCTTTGGATCTGTGCCGAAGGAGGTCTTGGGCCTCGGCTCGCCGCCATGGGAGCACATCCTGGTCAAGGCCAACGAGGATATCGCCAAGCAGAAGCAGAGGTGGATCGCCAAGCGAGATGCCTTGAAGGCTTCCTTTGAGGGTAGAGACCCCAGGATGCCCAATAACCACGAGTGCATCGACTCGGACAGTGAATTCGAGGTTGAGTGGAAGGGCAAGGCGAAGGCGAAGGCGACGGGACGGGCAAAAGGCAACGATGGCCAGCCGTCTGGCATTGAGACCCGAGCTGAGAATGAAAAGGCACGTGGTCAACTCTTGATCGCCGCCCCAGACCCATCTGAGACGGACCCAACTGCGGAGTTCTTCTGAGGATGACAGCTGCGATGGTTGTGGTGTGAGTGTGGATTACGGAGTACTGGCGGATGGATGAAGGAATCAGCACTATCTACTGTTTTTGTCTCTGTCTCTAGCGGGTTCATCAGTTAGCCTTGGAGATTCTGTTGCTTAGACCCGTACCATATCAGGATGTCAGGGTTTCGGGGTTCTCTTCCGGATGTTCGTACTTATGGCCGACTTGGAATTTGCACAGCGTGGATTTTAGCGATGTCCCTTTCTACCAATGATTGAGTCCTTTTGCCTTTGAGCCACAGCATAGAGATCTGGGAGTATTGGAGTCAAAGGTGCTTTCATTATACACATACATACTAGTGTTTGTGGTACTTCAACATGGCTTTTTATAGAAGAATTGTCTTACCTGGTCCATCCCCGGAGATTCTCAGGGTCTCAAGGCGGAAGGAATGAATGAAATCAGTCCAAAATGCAAATTTCAAACCCCTGGGCGCAGATATGCTGTAACTTATGTATGCTTTATTGGTATTGTGAAAGTCTATCTCTTTACCCCGTCTATTCCCAAGCCGATAGGGGTATCCACTCGAGCACTTCGATGGATCCCCGTATGCATAATATACTATTGGTGACCATACACCATATCATAGCGCATACCATGCCTTACGCCCCCTTGTTCTGATATAATGCTCGCTAATGAATGCCCGCTCCCCGAGTCCCACAAGTGATCAGAGCTCAGATCCTTCCACAATTCATACTGCCAAACGCGCTGCCGAAATTCATGCTTTTCTTGAGCATCAACCTTGGACCTTCATCATCGATCTCGTCATCGAGCTTGCCATATCCATTCTTTCCGTCAATTTCGGCAATGGAGGCATGTCGTGGCCGCTGTGCCTCGGCGAGTAACTTGGCGTCGAGTTTGTCCAAGAAAAGATTCTCTTGGCCTTCTGCGTGCTGACTTTTCATGATCAAAGGCCCCTTTAGTTCGACATCGCCGTCGGTCTGGAGAGGTTTTTTGTCAGTCCCTGTTTCGAAAGCGCTTGAGAAATACGAATCAGATCGCTCTGAGGGTTGCAACGCAATATGGTTAAGTATTGAATTGGAAATTGATGCTTGTGGCGGTGGAGGCACTTCGCGCTCTGGCGAACTTTGGCTTTCAACGCCTGACGGTGTCTCACTGATAGTAGGTTTGCCAAATTCCATGGGAGTGTGACCTGCGTTTCTGACCAGGATTGGGACCGCTGGGGAGATTGGTCCCTCCACTTTCACGCGCAAGCTCTTCTCTTCTTTGTGAATTCCGGGTCCTGGTGACGGTGGGTTGGGTGGTGAAGTAGCTGATGGCGAGCCAATCTTGACAAAGGATGATTCTAAACCAGCGGGTTTTAGGGTGATGCCGTCCAGAGAACTATCCAGCACGGTTATTGGAACAGGGTTCGAGCGGAGGGAGACTGGCTTCTCGTTACCACCTTCGGCAATGCTTGGGAGACCATTTGGGGTTGACGCTGGCTTCTTGGATTGTGGTTGTTTCTCATCGTTTGAGAAGACCCTAGTGACTCTTCCCCCCATATCTGGCGTCTCCCATACATGATGAGCACCATTGGGCTCAGATGTTCCCCGCGTAGTCCTCAAACCGTTGAACATGGATTTCTGACTAACATCCTTCCGGAACGACTGCACTTTCAGACTTGGGGCATCATTGCTTGATCTTCTCCGTCCAGTACTGGTCTTGCTCAGGTTGGCCTCTAGATTTGCTATCCTGGACTTGAGCATTGCCCTTTCGGCATTCCACAACCTCCGCTCCCTTTCGAATATGTCTCTTTCCTTTTCGAAATTAAGCCTCTGGCTTTCCAACAACGACCTGGATTGCTCCATGTAGGCGTTCATGTCTATCTCGGGAGGCGCATTCTTGATTCGAACAGTGTGTCGTGGTAACTGGCTGGCAGAGGAGACTGGCTCTAAGAAAGGGACAGAGTTTGCGAGTGGTTGGGCTCGGCCAGTGGGCGAGAGAACAGGAGAGAAATGCACTTCTTTTGATAGACTGCTCCCAAGGCGGCTGTCGAGTGTGCTACTGTTAGGATTCTCCATAAGAGGCGAGAAGTTTTCCTTGTCGAATGCAAGTGCCGGCGTAGGCTCAAAGGCCAAGGACGGTGACTTCGGCCCCATGACGATATTTCTAGCGAAGTATGACCAATAGAGTAGAAGTTGCCCAGCCAATAGAGGCAGTATCGTCGGGTATGTTTAGGTTGTCATACGTATTCGTGCGCAATGAAGGCGTGGCACAAAAGCCGCATGCGCACCTGGAACGCCGTTTGTATTTAATTGAGCTTGTATGAGGATCATAAGAAGCTTGGAGATGGCAGATGTACGAGTTGAAAGTTGGAGTGAAAATTGGCGGTGGAAAGGGAGTGGCATGCAGCAGAGATCGACATGAATTGACGTGAAGGTTGACGCTTGACCCTTGACCCTCGTGGAAAGATGTGGTTTGAGGTGTGTGTTTGGTTTCCTGCCTGAGCGAGCGAGAAAGAAAGGTATCTCCCATTGGCTAAGCCCGGTGACATTACGTCGCTACTCGGAGGGTGGAGTCGTTCCTGACAGATTCCTGACAGATTCCACGGTTCCGAGGCCGATGATTCGCATAAAGGAAGCCCATCCCAGGGGAAGCTTTCCTGTACCCGCTTATCAGTCCTTGGGCGAATTTGGAAGGACACCGGTACAGTACCAGCTTTTTCACCTCAGTTAGCATGTGATGATCCCACGAACAGGTCAAATTCCTATCACCGATTCACACCCTTACTACGGTATCGATCCCCTCTGAGACCTCGGCAGAAGACACTTGGTGATTGCCAGCTCAAATACGTTTGATGCTGTTCTCAAGGCCTCTACGGGGCACGAACGAAAGCTTGTGGTGCAACTATACTGTATCAAACCTCTGAATTGCTGCATTACACGCACAGCAATGCCGACGGGTCGAATTTCAGCAAGCTATCGGTATGCATGGCTATTGCCATTGCAGTATCTCTCCTCTGTTTGACATTCACCACTGCCCTCAGAACTGTGCGCCTCTTCCCTTCCCTTTCGTTATATGATCTTCTCTCTTATTCACTGACCTTTTCTTGCACTCCATGGGCCTTCCTTTCATTCAATGGCTTGGTGCTTCCATGAACGGCTCACTTCAAAGTGTCTATCTCTCCTTCTCTCATTACTCTATTTGTTGTTCTCTCTCTCCATCCTCACCGTCCTCCTGATAACAACACATTTACTTTTGACAATTACCATTTGCAATACGAGGGCTTACTCGTTAACTCCTATAAACGAATAGGCCCGACTTTCAGATGAATGTCTTGAATCTAAGCTATTTAGCAAAACGACACCACCCCAAACATTTGTAAATCATTGTCATGACCCTTATGTTCACCACTTGGTGACCTTGGACTTCATCATATGTATGACTGACCCATAGTAGTCGCAGAAACCAAGCCGCGCAGAATTCGGACAGGCCTTTAAATCTATCGCTGGTCATCTGATCAAGACTTTGCATTGGTCAGATGACCATGACAAAGTCGTCTTTAGCATGAGCAAAGGTGAATCACGAAAGAGCGCTGTTGAGAACGAAAGCTTGAAACGTGCCATCAAGGTTCGTAATACAATTTAGGAGCTGGTCATGCTCCGAGACGAAGGCGGCAGCTCCTTGCAGTACCAGGTTTCCATCATATACGCAAACAACGGCATGAGCCTCGTGTACCAAACAGATATGCAGGAATTGCATAAAGATGACACCAAGCCATTGACTCTCTTCAAGACGGACAATTTTGAATGCATTCGACAAGGCAAGATTAGTCACTTTCTTTCATCATGTTGAGCTTATGAATCGATGTGATCTGTACAGAGTAAGACCAAAGGCGAGAACGAGACGCACGCAAAGCCACTCGAACAGGTCAGGACTGACCATGCAAGGCTGCATGTAGCCCATATTGCACATTTAGCGGCCACGGTACCACGACTTCTAGGGTCATCATTCACACCACAGACAGTCGAATGGACAGTCATCTTCGACGTATCATGAGAAGGCTGGAGCTTCTTTGCATTCGTTAATGTATAGCTTGTGATGGATGATGAAGCTCATCAAGATCCCATGTTCGACATAGCAGATACCGAGTCGCTGAAGAGTTTCTGACAATTCTCTCATTCATTGACTGTTACCGTGTGACATTTCTCATCCTGGGATCCTAGAGCATCGCCATCTTTGTGTAGTAGAGTCTGTGCCTTGGATTGCGATGGAGCTCAAGATCCGTCAACCAATGTCCTGACCATTTCTTAGGTGGTGACTTCCTCCTCGACATGGCTTGCAGGAAATACCCATGACGACCTGCAGTTGGCGCACTCATTTGAGACTGGACCTTTAGACCCATACGTCGTCGTACCTACTCAGCTAACATCGAGTGTCAGTCACGTCACCATTTGGGAAAGAATCATTTCATCAGTCACTCCCTTGACATCACTTCTTGGCGCAGGGGGCAAGAGTAGCAAGATAAACAGTAGTGCTCGGCTACCAAAGCAGCATTACATCCCAGTAACGTGGTCAAGAACCGCTAGGTATATCTTTGAAAATTGACGTGATCTGCTGAACGGACAAGATTTGGCTTTACAAAACGCTGCCCTTCCGTAATTTGAGCCCCAAAAAGCCTCCCAAAAGCCCTGCCACGCCATGCGTTCTACCTGCGCCATCCTTCTCAAACACTCATCGTGAAGTCGTGCTCAATGGTAGGAGTGACGGATGCCATGAATTTCAAGAATATGACGAGATACTGGTGCGGCTTGATGGCGACCTGCTGCTCGTCGACATCTCCTTCTTCCTGCTCCAGGACTTCCCATTCATCGCCGGCGGCCCCGCCTGCTGCCGCCACGCCTTGAGCGTGTGCTTTCTTCTCCAGGGCGAGCTTCGACGTATCATCAATCAGCCCTTCCATTCCGGATACCATGTCACTTCTTCCAGCGGTCGCGCCGCTTGCCTCCCTCTGTTTCATCTTCTGGAGTCGGAGCTTCAGCGCCGCGTCGGCCCGGTCGAGGAGCACTTTCATGACCGAGGCATGCTTGCAGGGGTGGACGCTGGCCATTTTCATGCCGCCGTCGAAGAAGGGAAACGTCTCGAGTGTGACCGTCTTGTCTTTGTAGTCACCCGCGATGTCCTCCATCATTGCTGGGGGCGGGAGCGGTTCCGAAGCGGACACGTAGCCCGACAGGTATAACCGTGGTGTTCGATAGTAAGGAAAATATGTAATGTAGAGGTTGTAGGTTCGTAATGGCCTGTGAGAAGGTCAGCATATAGTCGACTCAATCCAAGAAGAAGAAGAGCGCTCACGCTCTCGTGCCGCCAGCCTTGGGATCTCGAATGATAGCCTCGTTATCGTCATCGTCGTCTTCCATATCCGGTATCTCGTCCTCATCATCCGGTTCCTCGCCTATATTACCCGACTCGGACATCGTGTGCACTTCCCTGATATTGGCAGCCTGTTCCTTCTCCGAGCTGCCTCCAGTCCGAAGCCAGCCATCATCCTCGCCATCCCCGCCGCCGCCACCCTCCCTATCATCAACACCTAGAAAGCCATCTTGCACAAGATCATCCGCAACGCCGGCTTCTCCGGCGAAGTTTTCGTCTAGCCGTCTATGGCAGGGGACGCCTCGGGTGACTAAATATTGCTTCCCGGGCGGGAGGTAGCTGACGCGCTTGGACTCGGGCGATGCGTCCGCCCAGGACCAGGTGGGGAATTTGTAGACTAGATAGTCCCCTGCGAGGACAAATTCTTCGGGCGAGATCTGCCCAGTTGATCGGAAGTTTGAGGTGTTAGAGACGAAGGAATAGTGATCGCGAATGCTAGAGAGGGTGGATTGAAGGATGTTCATGATGTGGGGGCTTGGAGGAGGGAGGTCAGGAATCAAGTACAGTGCACAATCTATGCAAGGGCTGGACGACGCTTGGATCTTGTTGCTCAGGCCGATAGCAGTCAGTCAGAGGATGGGGAGAATGGTGAAAGAATGTAGAGCAGGAATCTTAGGTGCGAAGGTTAGTTATCTCTTCACAGGCACAGTGCAGGCAGCGGTACATCGAGCGGGATGCCAAGCCATGGATGGCACATGGTCATTTCACAATCGACTCCATTATCTACCAACACCACAGCAGGCCACGATAGCGCTGCTTCCACAAGAACCTTCAAGCCCTGTAGCGTGTCATTTGTGAGCATCTTGTGTAGGAGCTTCTGATAACAAAGCACAGAGCAAGAGTACCCTGTCAAGCTTGCGGCGAGTCTTGCGGCGAGTCTCACGACCATCGCTAGCATAGTCTCTTCCCTGACGCCCCTGATTTTGACTTACTGAGCCGTTCGAGACGGACAACTCAAGAACGTCAATCACTCTCCTCACTTTCGTTGGCCTTTGCCCCTTTTGCGGCCCCTTTTGCAGCCTTCTTTTCCTTCTTCTCCTTCTTCCTGCGTTTGCGCTCTGCTTTCTCCTCTGGCGTCTCACCGTCATGTCTCTTCCGCTTCTTTTCTTTCTCGCCATTTGCCTTCGGCTCATCCACTTCCATTGCCTCGGAAGTGCCATTTGGGGCAACAGATGGTGCAGCGAGTACGTCCTCCTTAGCTGTTTTCTCAGCTACTGGCTGTGCTGGAGTGCCGTCTGCTGGCGCATTGTAATCCTTGTATTCTGAGTTCCACTTCGAGGGTGTCGCTTCATTTGGTCGACCGTATTTCTATGAGAGTTAGTATGTGGTATTTTTAAGCGTACTGAAACCCGTCTTACATCGAGCTTTCCATCTGATTTCATTTTCTTCTTCTCCAATGCAACAGGGCCCATACCCCATCTCCGGGGATATAAGTCTCTCTCCATGATACATCTCTTGACTTTAGCGACCACGCCATGATCGCATGTTGAGAGCTCCACTGTTGACATTTGTGCAATACCCAAAGCAATAGCCTCCCCTTTCGTGGTCATTAGGACAACCTCTTCATGAATCTCGATCCCAGATTCGAACCGTAGCAGACCAGGTATCATAAGTTTCGCTCCGTAGCACACCGCGTTGACGGCACTATCCTTTACGACTATCCGCTTGTATGTCGTAAGAAGGCTTTCCAACGGCGAGATGACTGCCCGCAGGTATGATTCGTCTCGGTTGTTGTCCATCACCCATTGCGCGTCCAAAACATCGTGTAAAGTGACCATGCCATCGGCTTCGTCCATTGCGCCGCTTCGTACCCTCCGCAACTCTTGCATATGGGCGCCAACTCCCAGCAGTAAGCCGAGATGCACACAAAGCGTCCGGATATATGTTCCAGCTTCGCATGACACCCAGAACACAGCCAAGTGTCTGTCATTATCGAATTCATAAAGCTTGCTTTCATGAATTGTCCGGATACGCAACTGTCGCTTAACTGCCGAAATAAGCGGAGGTCGTTGAAATAATGCACCCGTCAGAGTTTCCAACGCCCTCGCAAATTGCGCTTCTCCGCCTGGTAACTTGTCGTGCAATCTGATCACACACACATACTCCTTGCCTGCTCCTTGCTGTGACTTGACCAGTCTCGTGGCACGATCAATACACACAATGAGACATCCTGTCACTTTGGGGTCTAAGGTTCCGCTGTGACCTGTCTTCTCCACCCGTAGCATGCGCTTCACCCACGCAACAACTTCATGACTGGACGGATTTGATGGTTTGTCGAGGTTTATGACTCCGGAAGAAATGTATGATTTGAGATCGCGCTTGAGGGGTGTGCATCCACAAGGAATAGGTGTGAAATGTCCGGTTCGAACGAGTACTGTCGACGAGGTCAGCTTTGACGCTGGCACTGCCAATAGAAAGACATACATTTATCATAGTTCTTCAATAATAGGGGCCACTCTGATGTGGGAATAGATGGGGTGGAATTTTCTGGCTTGATGCTATACTCAGCTTCCTCAGTAGCACCCATCTTGATTGCTATTGCGACGTTCGAGGAGCTGGATTGGTCAATTGGGAGCGCACAGTAAGAATTCAAATCAGTGTCGTGACGCTAGTGGGATAATCTCCATGGTAGCATATACACGGCTATGAGATAAAGTATGCAAATTACCACGTAGCAATGATCGGTGTGGAGGTGAAGCGCTACATAGAATATATTATCGTTTTCTACATCGTGGAGCTGTCTGCTGCTCGAGAAAAATCGCGGAGCTCTCAATACACTAGTTTTGTATTTGATACCGTAAATTTCGTACATGATGATATGATAGAACATACAACAGCTGTCTTCATCTTTTTGTACTCAGCCATCCACCTCCGTGTCCACCATTCTAACCTTCTTCCACCTGCAGTCCGTCGCTTCTGGCGTTCAGGCTATTTCTGAAATGTCGTCCCTGTATTGGTTTTGGAACGCTCCTCCTGTGACAAGGTAAGCATGCCAGCCATCAAGCTCCCAGCTTCCAAAGCTCATCTAATCACCAGGACTTTTGTGGCCGCCGCATTCATCGAATCCGTCCTTTGCCATGGCGGCCTCATCTCTCCCATGCGTGTCATCTTCTACAGACCATGGCTGTTCAAGCTTCTGCCCGATATATGGAGGTTGGCTACGCCTTTCTTGTTGACGAGTGGTGGTCTTGGCTTCATCTTCGACTTGTACTTTCGTACGTCAAGCTGCAATCCACTTGTTAAGATGCCTCTAGAGCTCATGCTCCCGAACAGTGTGGACCTATGGTACAGGCCTTGAGCTCAACTCTCCACGTTTCAGCCAGCCTGGAGACTTCTTCACCTACTTGGTGTTCGTTTGCAGCACTATCATGGTGAGTGTAGACACATATCTCATTCCTCTACTGTCTTTACGGTTTCTTCACTCTCCAAATCTTCCGAATTCTCCTTTCTTGCTATACATGCTCTGAGCTCTGGCTATGTACCTCACATATCTGCCCGCCCAGCCTTCTTCTAGCTGAAGCGGTTCCTGGGACTGAGGGAGATTACCCCTGCAGCACATATGGGTCCATCATTCGCAATCACAAACAAGAGGATCCATATGCGGTGTGGGCATGGTGGAAGTATCGATTTGAGAAAGAGCTCACGTGATTTTCCCATGTTGCGATTGGCGGTTGTGACTTCCTACATTTTCTTAGATCTGCTCCAGCTTCTAGTACCCGATCACCAATCTCCCTACCATAAGAGCCCCGTCACTTGGTTTCAAAGCGTTGAGCGATGATTAGACCGCCGCTAATGTTCTCAAAGGCAACGGCCGGTCTCCTCCTTGAGGGCCATATCTTCACTCACGCCCTCACCCTCGCCCTAGCCTACACCTACGCAACCGACAACCGCGGCAAACGCGTAACCTTCATCATTGTTCAGATCCCTGTCGAGTACCTCCCATGGGCCATGCTAACCTTCACCCTTGTCATGTCCGGCTGGCCGGCCGCCCTGCAAGAGGGAATGGGGATCATCGCTGCGCACCTATACGACTTTCTAACCAGGCTGTACCCCACGTTCCAGGGTGGCAGGAATTGGATACAGACGCCGGCGTTTGTGGCGAGGGCTTTCGGCGCCGATAGGAGTGCCTTCAGTCATAAGGCGTATGGCACGAGTTTTCGATCGGCGGCTGCGAGACCAGCTGGACAGCAGGGGGGTAGTAGTACTAGCAGTGGCTGGACAAGTGCATTGGGTGGCACTTGGGGTGGACGAGGTGCTGGGAGGCGGTTAGGCGGTGGTTGAACAGTATCATATCCAGTAAACGAATTGATGATGTCCATTTCCTCTTGACCATCGTGACCGGCGCATCGTCGAAAGACCAAGAAAGGTTTTCAATCCCAATCATCGTCGTCATCATCTGCAATTCCCTTCTTGCTGTCCCTGATTCCTCTCCTCCCACTCCCAAACAACCCGCCGCCGTTCATTCTCCTCGTCCGCTGCTCCTCGACCTCCTCGTCCTCGTCCTCGCCCTCACTACCACTCCCACCAATAGCAACCCACCCCTTAGTCCTCCCCTCAAAAACACCCCACCCAACAACCACCCTCTCAATCGCCCTCGTAACATCCACCCCTCCC